CGTACTTTTCACATACGCGGAAGGCCGAAGGCGACGCAAGAAGCAACAATCCGATGCCCGGATAATGGGGAAAGCGGATGAACGGCCGATGGAAAGTACGGGACGCGTCGAGGGGCAAGGAGAGGAGCGCAATGCATGCGCGCGAGGGTCGGGCCAACTTTTGTAAATAAAAAGGATACACCACTAGCCGTTGTCCCATATCCTGGATGAAATTGGCCGCCTGCTGCCGGTAGCTCAATTCCTTATCCGCATCGATGCCGCACTTTCTGCTCGGTGTGTTTGCAAGCTGTTCTTTCGTAAAGTACCATTTTTCGTCAGCCGCCATTTATATGTACACACTTCGGCACTCCGCGCGACTGCAGCGGCGGCGGCGGCGGCTACAAAGGTACGGCGGGCTAGGACTATGGCGGCGCACTTCACGGCCCTCGCCAACGAACGCGGCGGCGTGCACAACATAAATCGGAGAATTCGATTTATCGCGACTGGGCGGAGAGCGGCAATGTTCAGCCAGCGACGAGGTGACCGCGGTGATTGCGCTTCGAGCGCTGCTCCTCCCTCGTCGTCAGTCTCGTCGTCCTTCTCCTTCGCCTCCTTCTCCGCCTTCACTGCCAACAACGCCGCCGCCTCCACCGCCACCCGCTACTCCGGCGCTCCTTCCCGATCTCGCGCTCGTCAGTCTGTTTTGAGCGTTGCACCGCGACGAGAAGCTCGACGTCAGGGCGGCAACTTATTTCACCTCTGCAAACGGACAGGTTAGATTTTATTTTCACATTCGCCAGTTCGGGATCCTTACTTATTTATATTCATGGGTGTACGTGTGTTTGTGTGTATTACGTTAAACACGAGCGAGATATTTTATTATATATAATATACGCGTTGGAATTTTATGAAAATTACTAAGAGCAAGAGCGAGCTTTTTGAAGGACGGAAATTACCGAATCCGATATCCTCGATAACGCTGATATTAGACGCTGAACCACCGCGAAATTTGAATTTACAAGAGAGACGTGCATACACCACCAATCCTCCTCCCTCCTCCTCGCCCCCTCTCCCCCGCCCGTCCCACGCCGTACCCATGCAACTGTTCGTTCGAAATTGTAAATCGTATGCGCTATCACCCGCAGCACAATATTGACAAACCAAATACCCCATGCCTGCCGATATTTAATATATTTTTATTAAACGCTATTATTCACAAATTGAGTCTTAATACCGCTACTTCCCGTCGCACATTAATAATTGAAATATATTATAAACATATACATTAATCTTGTAAATAAAAGGAATTGCGAGCATTGTACAAAAAAAAAAAAAAAAAAAGATAAAATAACATTTGCAAGATCATGTCAATTCCCATTGCTAAATTAATTACAATGGATTTGTTTCGATTCAATCATAGCATAATTTAATGGAAATATATTCATGGTAAATAAATAAAAGAAATGAAATATACTCAACAAACAAACAAAATAAAATAGTATTTATATTATTTTATTCATTTAATCATCCAAGCTGTGTATTATTTTTATATACAAAATTAATATATATATATATATATATATATATATATATATTTATATATAAATACACACACAGGCGCGCGTATATGCGGATATGTATATATAAATATATAGGATTAAAAATATATATGTAAAATCCTATTTCTTTTACACATATTCAAACCACTAATATCAAATATATACTAATAAGCGTTGGTCTATTGTTTAAACAATAAAATAAGAGATTTTGTACATTCATCGTTCAAATACTTCATTAATTTGCTGATGATAATATTTTGAAATTTTTGTCTGGAACGAGGCTTATTATTAGCTTTATAAGATTCAATGATTATTAAAAAGATACGAATGCAACGATATTAATAATTCTTAGTAAATTATACACCTTACAATATCATTAATTATTTTAAGCAATGTTAAACGGCTAGAATTAATTTTCAATTAAACTCTCGTTTCTGTATATCATAGAAAAGTACAGCTTACTAAAACGCACACTGGTTACTTTATAAACAGAGTTCGGTGAAATTTCTCTTCTTCTTAATAACTGTTAATAAGCTAACTTAGTTAAATTATATAAAAATGCTTCACATACCTTCTACACTTTTGGTCACGGGTTCAATTACAAAAGGATATGCGTTCACGATTGCAATACCAAATAGCCACTACCAGCACCCCACAGAAACTGAGACTTTACAACTTGTTCCCGATGTATCACCCAGGACACCAAACGACAGACTAAGGCTACTGCAAATTTTGGGCACATTTATAACCCAAATAATTAAAACACGCGTGCAATAATTCTAAGAATTTTCTCATGTTTCTGCAATTTTCTGGCAGGTCATTTAATATTAGTCAAAGACTATGTGCCTAGGTGTATATACCATTTATTACATATATTGTTAAGTACGGATAACCCTTAAATCGTTTTGTCTAGACTCCTCTATATGCACAAATCAAATTAAACAGATTCACAGTAATTACACTGCACCTGCCGACCTAACTACCGTACTCCACATACCTGCTAAACAATGTTCGGTTATGTACACCCCCCCGCAACCGCCCACCCGCTCCTCCCTTT